TCACTTTCAACTCGAGAACCAGAAAAGCTAGAAGGCTGAAACTTTGGAAGTATGTGCCCATACCATACGTGACGCTTCCTTTTTAATTTCATCCCCCTCAGACGCCTGGGTGCCGCGTACAGAAGCTTTAAAAAATATGCAAATTTTTTGACGGGAAAGCGATCTCGGGAACAACTCGAGCTAAGGGGCTGAAACTTTGTAGGGATATTCCCTGTGCATGTACTAGCTAAAAATTCCAAATTCAACCCCCAGGTATGCGTGGTACTCGTATAAGGGCGTATGAAATTTTTAGGGGGGAAATTGCTAACTCGGGTACCAGGAAAGCTAGAAGGCTGAAATTTTGGGGGAATGTTCCCTATCGAAGTACAGCTCAAATATTTCAAATCCAGCCCCAAGCTATGCCTAGTACTCAAGTAAGGGCGTATGAAAGTTGCAGCATAACTGGTTCTAGCTCCCCTCCTACTTACTCCTATACCGAAGTGCCGGTATTCATTATCTTGAATGAGAAATTATGAACAAATACTGTAGCACGAATGAGAAATATGATTGTCTCTAACAACATATTTCTGCTTCAAAGTCGGACTAATTAAGCGCCTAGTACGGATGGGCAAAAATGTTATAATACCTCAATTAAGGCTTTATTTCACACTGACACTCAGCACCCTGAAAAGTCCAAACCTCATTTTAAAAAGATTTCTCAGTTTGCAAATCTTTTTGAGTAGCGCAGAAAAGGAAAGTGCTCTGACATGTTTCTGCATAAACCAAAAAGCCCACATTCAAGTGTACTTGCTTGTTTCTAGGAAATTAATTCAATAACAATAGGAAATGATGAGCCAAAACTTGAAAATTTTGTTCCTAGTCATGCAAAATTTAAAAATTTGCAGTTAAGTTGAAGGCCTTTGTTCACCCTGAGCAGTTAAGTTGAAGGCCTTTGTCTTTTATCTAAAATTCAGCTAATATATTAAATTCCACTTGAAATGATCTGCAGCGTCTTTTTTTCAAAGTGTCAATTTCAAGTCTGGGTTGAACTTGGAAAAAGCAAATAGTAAACTTTAAAATTTGAGGTACACTGGATGGTGAAAATTTTAAGGCCTTAGTTTTTTGACCCTCTGTTCTCTGTTTATATCCCGACTTCTAATCACACTTTCAAATCCAGACTTAATTTATAAAGGTCTGAAGTCACTGGAGGCTATAACTTGAAAACTTTTATTCTGCGAAAAACTAATTCCTTCTTTGATCTGAATTGTGACTTCAGAGCCTACTTTGGGTTAATTTTATACTTCGAGAGCCGTAAAAGCTGCAGACTGAAAATTTTGAAGGGCTCCTTTTTTATTAGTTTGAAGCATATAATTTAATATTGGCTTTCAATCATCACTGTGCCCTCATCTAAGACTTCAGGTCTAAGTGAAAGCTAGTTTGCTATGCGATACGAACCAAATGTCTAATTAGCTTTCAAACTCTGCAGTGTTCTCACGAATGGCTTTTACTCATATTCACATAATATTTCTTAATTCGAAAATCAAAAAAATCGGAGCTGGAGCGCATCAGGCTTGCTAACGCAATCATGCTTTTTTTGCTCCAGACTGCAGCAGGCAGACTGTTAAAAGCATGATTGATTCCTGCGTCACAACATAAAACGCAGACATGTGTTGGCTGTGTTTTAGCGTTTTCTTGTGGACAGGTTGAGATAGCAATGTTGCATCATGAGGTCGCGTGAACCTACAATATGCATGGTTATAATTTTTTGCATGAAGCGTGGTCGTTTTTCGGGTGCGCAATCGTTCATCAGAACAAAGTAAATTTTAAGAAAGTCGGAAAAGGATTGCGAAATCCCCAAAATACATTCGCTCTTGAGTTTGCTATAAAATAGAATATTTGTCATGTCTGCCTACACGAAATTTCACCTTCAAACTGAATTAAGACGTACTTGAACATAGAATATCCTTGCAAAGTTTCAACTCTGTAACTTGTCCGTAAGCGAAATAACCACTCACTACAAAATGTGTTTGTAGTGCCGTAAGTAGTGGTGCAAGTGCAAATCAAAACTCAGTTTGGACATGCGGTTTTCCATATGAACAACATACATTCTAACAAAATTTCAGCTACTGTTTTCCGGCTAGTCTCCGAGTTGACACAACGCCAACTGCGACCTTTAACGTGACCATATGTACGGTACAAGCTGCGCGATAGCTGAATTTGAAATTTTTAGCTTATACATGCACAGGGAATATCTGTGCAAATTTTCAACTTTCTATCTTGCCTGGTTCACGAAATCGTATCCCGCCGAGAGAACCCACATATTTTTTCGGGGGTCCATACGCCAAATCTAGGCGCATATGAGCGATGATTTGAAAGCGGGAGGGTGACGCATGGGTTGGGAGTACTACCCCAAAACTTCAGCCTCCCATCTTTCCTCGTTGCTGAGTTGAAAGTGGGTAACAAAGCTCACTCCCTTCCGAACAGACACACACACACACGAACGACTTTTGAAAATTTGCGTTTTTGCTCGTTGTAGCAGCGCTACAGTGCTGTGCAGCAAAGGTGCAGAAAAACCAACAGATGGTAATTTTGGTGGATTAATTCACCAGACAGTTGACAACAAACAGCATGGGAACAGCTTTTGAGCCTTCACCCTGATCTATGACTTCGGGTCTAAAATATGGTTGGTTGTAACTTGCTTTTGTCATAGTTGCTAACTCACGGAACATCGTTTAAAAAAAAAAAACGCATGATCCAACGGCCTCCCGGTGCTTGTCGCTATTTATTGTTTATGCCAGTTGCATGCCGATTGTCCGCGATTTCAGACTGTGTGTGGATCAGATGGATGGCCTGGAAAGCATCCTGGTTTCATCTTCTGCATCATCACCAACCGAAACAGGTCACCGAATTATGAAGCCGACCGTCTCACTAACATATCATAACAATCAGCTACTGAACCAGGCAGACCACTATGGAGGAATTGTCCTGGAACCAGCGTCACGGTTGTTCAATTCACCATCCGTTATACTCAGTGATTTTGGCTCTGTCGACTGTAAGTCTTGCTGATATTCTCCAGTGCACTTGTTTTTGATACAGAATAGCTTTAACACTTTGAGCACCTGCTACTTCAATATTTTTGCTTCTCATTGTCGATCGGACTGGCAGCGATTCTTTCTCTGGACGACTTTCATTCTGAAGTAGTGACATCCACGTAACTTCCCCTCGTATACGTTGAAGTCTATCTTCTCATCGCCATGCTTAACATCCCCGATGACCACTTAACATCGCGGGGGTATCATTTAACAAATCCTCAGTCCTAGTTTCCACCTTCATGACTAGCCGTATTTTTGTGCCTTGTATAAATTCCATTCTTATCCTTCACTCCACACAGAAAGCGCAGTACCTTACTGGTAATGTGTTGTGGCCTAACAGCTTCCGCGGTTTCGAAGCTGATTGTCAGGAACGTGGAGTACGTATGCACAGGTAAATATACGGGTTTATAAATTTTCTCTAAAGCGCTTATTTTCAAAAACTCCTGCGAAGCTCATGAGGAAACGAAAATTTATTTCCCGGCGTCTCAACTTCACTGAAGATTAAGATACCAAGGACTGGTAAGGCAAATGATAATCACTGAATTGTAATCTTGAATATGTTGTTAATAAAATATAAGAAATATAGCCAGCAAAAACTTCTTTCAAAAGTTTACTGCCAGATACTTTGTTTGACAATCTAAAGTGAAAGCTAATTTCAGCGGATCGAAGAATTAATAGATGTCGCCCGTTATCGTCTTCGTTATCCAGAATCTCCGACTCGCCTTCGTCGTTTCATCAGAGGTTAGCGTTTGGCCTCCATCAGTCACTCAAGATTAGTAATTTGTTACCTTTGCGCCTGAAAAATAGTAAATATGTTATGAATGAAGTAATCAGTGGCGTGTTAAAATGGAGGATTTAGAAGTACACATCATAGCGACTAACTGTAGAGTGAAGGTGATATGCAGAATACTTATGCTGCTTTACAGCAATCCCTTGGAGGAGTCCTTTGCTATTGGGAATCCTTAAAATCTAGTGCTTGTCTATTGCTTTGCAGTTCATGAGCAACATCAATATATCTAGTTTAAACTGTGGCTGTAGAACAAATTACTCTGGAATTTTAGAAAATAAATCGTTTTCACATACTCCTCATTTATGCCGTAAATTGAAACCGCAGATCTCGCTTAAGTGATAATATCATCAAAAGTTTGGTTCTGAGATCAGTGATGGCAACGCAAAGTGGTCTAAAGGTTGTTTTTAAATGTCTTTGCACATATGCGAATGCAACCCGGGTTGCAGCGCACCAGGCTTGCTGGTGCGGTCATGCGTTTTTGCACTAAACTTGCAGTTTGCTAACAGCAGAAATGGGTCCCTATGCTATAGTTTAACACTTGGACTAATTTTGGCTGTGTTTTGACCTCTTCCCAGATAGAGAAGAAAAGTCTGGGATGAAAGCATTGCATTACGGGCCTCATGGACCTCCAGCGTGCATGATTATCAATTTTTTTCATGAAGCCCGGTCGTTTTTCTGGTAAATGCTCGTTCATCGAAAAAGTGCAAATTTGCAGGAAGTTGAAAGGGAACTATAAAATCTGCAAAATGCACTCGCTTTTGAGTTTGCATACCCACCTGCAAGGAATTTCACCTCCAAACTAAATTAACACCAGAAATAAAAGTAGAATATCCTAGCGAAGTTTCTACCTCGCATCTTATTCGGTAAGCGAAATAACCACTTTGCTACAAATATCTTCGAAGTGCCCTAAGTCGTTGCACAAATGCAAACCGGCACTCAATTTAGGTGCACGATTCCCCCATA